CTGAGTGTGTGTCTGTGCACCACATACATGCCTTTTGCCCTCTGCCCTCCGAAGCCTCGGAACTGGAGTTACAACTATGAGCCACTACGTTCTCTGGAATAGCAGCCAATGCTCTTAACCTCTGGGCCATCTCCCCAGCTCCTTGGTATAATATTCAGTTAACCCAGATGGTCTTCAGTTTCCAAGAGTCTGGGGACCCTGAACTGTTCAAAGTCAAAACCTGTACTCTGAGACGCCTAGAATGAGAGGCGGGCAGGCCATCAGTGTGAGAAGAACTACTACCGGAGGCAGGGAGACGCGAGGAAGAAAAAGGGGCTCCTCACCTGGGGTAGACAAGGAGGACCTTCTCACGGGAGGGGCAGTCTTGAAGGAAAAGTGACAGAGGTGCTTCAGAGAGAACACAGAAGAGGCTGGCCTAAGGTAGTCCCGCCCCCACCTTCCCAGCGACGGGACAGAGGGCGGGGCTTGACTGAGGAGCTGGTATCTGGACGGTGGAGCACTTTGGATTTCAGGAATAAATCCAATACTGAACTGGAAACTTACGGTCCTCTAAGTCCCGCGTCCTTCTTTGTGGTCATACATATTTTTAAAATTTTTAGCGGGCGTAGGTAGACTGGGAATGTAGCTCTTTTGCTAGAATGCTTAACTAGCGCACCTGGGTTCGTCCCCACTAGCGCAGGAACTGGACTTGGAGGTGCAGGCTTGTAATTCCAGCGCCGATGAGGTGAAGGTGCGAGGGTCAGAAGTTCAGTCAGTGTCAGCTTGGCTATGCAGAAAGTTTAAGGCCAGCCTGGGCTAGATATCCTGTCTCAAAAAGGGCGAGAGGGGACTCCCTGTCTCCCCAGACCTTGGGCTGGGTGCTTACACGGAAGCTAAGTGGAACAGGGCCAGACGTCTTTGGGTTTCACTTCCCACTCCCTCACCGGTCATGACATCATCCCCTCTGGTATTCAAAGTCAGGTGAGAAGAACCTTCAGCCCTGTTTGATCCTCGCTGTGTCCGAAGGAGGCAGTTTTCAGTTTCCCTTAGGGCGGCGGCCGGAGGTCAGCTGCATGGAGGGAACCTCCCCAAGGCAGCTCCACCTTCTGGATACCCCTTCCCCGAAACTGCCACCGGGCTGGGCAGGACTTGGCATGAGGCTGGGTGTGTAGCTGAGCAATGCCCAATCGAAGGAGTGGTGAGGAGGGGCCCTGCTCCCCCGACTCCAGTCAGCTGCCAGCGAGTCATTCCTGCCGCTGCTGTCACCAGCCTGGGAGGCAGGTGGAGCCCGACCAAGGGTGGGGGAAGCTGAGAGTCAGGCAGAGGCGGTTGGCCTTGGTTGCTATAGGGATAATCACTTTAATGACACACTTGACAGCTGTCACTCTTCAGAGTTTCTCTGTCTACCTCCTAAATAATAACAGCACCCACGGATGGGTGGTGGTTGCTATACAAGGGCTGTCCACCAGGAGGCAGGAATTGCTAGCTCCATTTTACAGAGGAGGAAACTGAGGCCTAGAGAGAGTAACTTCTTGTTTAAGCTCCAATGATAGCTAAAAGGCCAATGGCACACGGCCCCAGGTAGGACCTCAAAGCTGCCCCAAATCTTGCTTCTTGTACATTATTGCGGTCAGCTCTCACACTGTGAGGTAGGCTCAAAGGATGGCCCTACATTTTGTTTTGCAGACTTGAGGGTTGAACCCCAGGGGAAGGCTGCTGCTTACATTAGACCATCAAGACCCAGAGCCCGGACTTGGTCTTCCCCACGGCCCAGCCTCATCAACACTCTGGGCTCAGGCTCCTGCAAGAGGCCTATCAGTCAGTCACTGACCCATGGCCATCTGCCCTGGTGGCCAGGAATTTTCCCAAATCTGACATTGCTGGACTCTGGACTGCACTGTTTTCCTGAAGTTTATTTTTGGAGTGGGGAGGTGACCTAGGCCACACAGTTGGCCTCACCAGGGTGCTGTTTGCTGTTTTTCTGTTTACTGTAACTGCTGCTGACTTCCGGCCTGTGGGTGACTCAGCCCCCTCCAGGCCCCATCAATCCTGAGCCCAGAATTCTTTGTGAACCCTGTGTAGCATGTGACTGCCCTGCAGACCTCAGCAGAGCAGAGGAGGTGGGGCCAGCATCCCTCTGGAATGTTGTTCTTGGTGATGCGGGTCTCCAGCAGAGCCGTGACCACCTCAAGAGCAGACCGCAGCTGACCCGTTTCTGTACCCCAGACTATCTCAGGCTGGCGCCAGCTGTGGTTCCGGATATTATGTCTAATTGACAGTCTGGCTGGACGAACACAGGAAGAGAAGGAAAAGGATAGAATGAAGAAGAGGGAAGAAAGGACAGAAGGAGGGAAGGACTGAAAGAGGGGATTGAAAGATCCAAACTGGCCAAATGGCTGAGTATTGTGGCACATGCCTGTAACCCTAGTACTCAGGAGGCAGGCAGTTCTCTGTGAGTTCAAGGCCAGTCTGGTCTACAAAGCAAATTCCAAGCTAGACAGGGTTACATAGACTCTGTCTCAAAAATAAATAAATAAACAAAGAAGAGATGAAGGATAAATACTTATAACATGTGGCCAGGGGTAGGAGCATATTCTGCCTCCTCTTCATGCTCCGAGGATAGACCCCCTAACTTTTGACCCCATTTTCTCGTCCACCTCTACCCTTCCCGGCAGCTTAGGCATCTCAGGCTGTTCTGATTCTTTGCTGCCACTGTGTGGCCACGTTGCTCTCTGCAGGTTATTTTTCCGTGGGGTTCCTGGAGTGGGGTGCTGGGTGTTTGTGTAGCTATGGCTGTGCCTTTGGGGAGCCTTGGCAGAGTGACCTGGGGTGCAGTTCTCCAAGCCCTTGTTTATGCACTCATGCCCTCCCTCTTTAGTCCCAACCGTCAGAGTCCAGAAGTCCTTGGATTCAGCCTGGACTGCGCCACTCAGAACTTTGCCCTCACATACACTGAGCACCTACTGTGTGCCAGACACTTGGTGCATGTCATTTCACTCTGTCCTTTGAAGTACATATGATTCCTACGCACCTTTGAAAAATGAAGAAACAGCGTCCCAGAGAAGAGAGAGAATTTAGGCAAGGTCTAGTTGGCAGTTAAATCTGGACATTGAGTTCCGGAGTTCGTCCATACAGAATCCTCAAAAACTATGCCAGGGTGGTGGCGAAGGCTGTATTATAGCACTTGGGAGGCAGAGGTTGCAGAAATAGGAGTTCAGTGCTGTCCTCATCTACATAGTGAATTTGAGGCCGGCCCAGGACCTGTGAGACCCTGCCTCTAAACAAAAGGGCAGGGGGCAACTGGAGAGATGTTTCAATGGTTAAGAATACTTGTTGCTCTTACAGAGCACCTGGGTTCGGTTCCCAGCACCAGATGGTGGCTCACAGCCAGATTCGGGGTATTTTATCCCTCTTCTGACCTCTGTAGACACTGGGTACACACATGGTACACATACATTCATGCAAAACACTCACTCTACATATAAAATAAGTTTTTAAATTAAAAAATAAAATCAGAGGTGTGAGGAGCCTTTTATGGGCCAACTTGTCCAACACTCTTTGTTTTTCAGTTGGAGAAACTGAGGCCCTAGACGTGGAAGTAACTTCACACAGCAGGTGAGCAGACCCAGGCCTATGTCCAGCAGAACCCGGAAGCTGCCCCCTCCCAATCATCCTTCGGTGGGGCGTCCAGCTCCCCCAGCTGCACGGACCTCCGGCTTGGCTCGCTCCCCTTGCCTTGCACTGTTGGGCTTTCCCCGCTAGGAAGGGTGAGCCAGTAATTGGGTGAACTGAACGGGAAGGAGCACTGTGGCGCCATCTCAGTGCTCATTAGACCCTAATTAACTCACTTTGGTATCTGCAGGCATGGATGGGTGGGCTCAGGCAGGAGAGAGGGGGAGGGGTAGGAGCTGCTGTCATCGGTGGAGCTGAAAGGACTCACTTCCTCTTCCAGTGGGCAGGCCTGCCTCCAGTATGCCAATACTGTGTAGTTATTGACAGCCACACCTTTCCTCTTGGGTGAGTTCTCAGAGAGGGGCCCAGGACTCTGAAAGCAGGCCCATAGGCCTGGGCAGGAGGAATAGGGAGAGGAAGGGGTCAGAAGGGGTGGAGACAGGTGAAGAGAGTCATAAAAGGGGTAGGGGTAGGGGGTGGGGGTGGGGGCACTGCCTCTGCCATCCTGCTTTCCCTCCAGTAGCACCTTGATTTTTTTGGGGGGGGTGGTGGTTTTGAGACAGGTTTCTCTGTGTAGTTTTGGTGCCTGTCCTGGATCTTGCTCTGTAGACCAGGCTGGCCTTGAACTCATAGAGATCCACCTGGCTCTGCCTCCTGAGTGCTGGGATCCGCCTGGCAGAAAGGAAGGCGAGGACTCCAAGTATGCTGGGATCCAGAAAGTTCCCAGCTGCCCTTCAGTGACTTCTGAGGGGTGGGGAAAAGGGCAGCGTGTCCTCAGGTTAGAGAGCATGGGCTCGTGAACCACGTGCCTGAACTTGAATCATAACTCTGTGACTTTCTAGCTGTGTGATCTTAGGTCTGTTACTCAACTTCTCTGAGTTCTGGCTTCTACATCTCGACAAAGGGAATGTCACAGTTGCCTGCCTTCAAGTGCTGCTGGACTGCAGACTGAGCATCAGTTCTCAGCAGCCTTGTATGGAAGGCCCTTTATCCCTCTCTGGCCTATGCTCTGCCTCCCTGATCTTCTGTCCCTCCCTGAGCTAGAAAGGCAGAGAACTCCACCCACTGTTTGTCTCTTCCTACCCTCTTCTAATGTGCTTTCCACTGGGAATGCTTTTCCTGCCTTACATACTGAATCCTCAACTAAGTGCCACCACTAGGAAGCTTTCCTTGATTTCCCCATCCCCATCTTTCCCTACCAGGACCGGTACTGGAGACCTCTCTTCAGAACTTGCCAGGTAGATCCGTGATAGCCCCCTTGTCAGCAGTGGGGAAGGATGGCGCACAGCACCCCTGTGGAGCCCAAGGTCTAGGAAGATTCCAGTGGAGATAATAAAATGACTCGAGGCTGAGCAGGGCTCCCTGCAAGCCCCCTTCCTGCTCCAGCTTTATTTTGGTTCAAGAATCATTCCAGTCAGCATTCTTGGTCGGCACCCCAGCCATCTGGGCACACTGTCAACGTTTCATGCAGTATAGAGGGAGGAACAAGGGGGGAGGTTGGGGGCTGTGGTCTGCCCTGCAAAGCCACTGGATTAGAAGGAGTCCGGGGCTTCCAGATGACAAGGCCTGGCCCAGCCACCAGTATCCCTCGTCCAGTATTCACCTCTTAACCTTAGCCACAGGCTGAGAAGCCTGGCTCCAGTAGGGTCTGGTTGTGGCAGGTGCCTGCCTCCAGTCCTATTGACCTGTGTCCCGGTTCTAGCCACCCTTCCCTTTGTCATTGATGGCAAGTGATTAGACCTGGGTCTCCGTGGTTCCTGACTGGATCTGAGTATCCATGATTCGTTAGGGCCAAGGACCAGAGGCAGCCACTGGAGACCTCTGCTTCTTCTTCTTCTTCTTCTTCTTCTTCTTCTTCTTCTTCTTCTTCTTCTTCTTCTTTTTTGAGACAGGCTTTCTCTGTGTAGTTTTGGTGCCTGTCCTGAATCTTGCTCTGTAGACCAGGCTGGCCTCGAACTCACAGAGATCCGCCTGCAGAGCCCTCTTCTTGTTACTCCCCATGGCCACTCTCCTTTTAAATCTGCAGGTGTCAGAGAGAAGAAGCCCAAAGCCACCACTTTTCTGGGACTGCCATTATCAAATGACATTTATGACACCTGGAGAGATGTGATAACCCCTCTAACTCTGACCAGGTGGGAGTCAATGAATGATTCTGGCGGTGAAGTACAACCCGACCCTTGGTTTCTGAACACCATTTCCCCAGAGTTTCTACTAGCTCCAGACTAAGGCTAAATATCCCTGAAGTCTCAGTGTTAGGGAACTTGACCTAAGACGCCCAGTATTCCTAGGGTTGAATTGAGGCCTGCCAGAGAGCTTCCTTCCAAGAGAGGCCTGGCCTGGAGGGACATCCACCAACACTGGTGGGTCCGTGCTGATTTGCACTGGATTCAGCACAAGAGCCTGGCTCTGGGCCCCTGGGGACTTCTGGTTCTCTCAGGGAGGGTCAGGGGAGCCTTCAGGTGGCCCTCAGGCTTCTGCTGAGCCTGGTCTCCTGGCCTTTTCTTGTCCCCACTGCAGTGGGCAGAGGCTGTGTTTGGGATGGGCTAGTTCAGGTCCCTTCTATTGTCTGACTATTTACCACAACCCCCACTACCCTCCTGGATAAATCTGGACGCTGTTGATTCCCTAACCCTCAAAGTGCCGCTACTTCCTTGTCTGAGACAGCCTCCCTGTTTCCCCAGACTCCAGGCTCTTTCCCAAGTCCATCTGGCTGGGTGGTTACTTGATCAGCACTGAGCTGAACAACCAGGATGGGAGAGGGCCATCTTGACTTCCTGGCATGGTACCCTGGGTGCTATGTCTTGTTAATGTTAGCCCTGTCAGTACAGGGACTAGCCCCTCAAGACTTATTAACAGCTGACCTCTACGAGAATTGCAGAAGGGTGGTTGGCCAGCTCTGAAGCCCATGTACCTCTGTAGACTAAGGGACATACTTCGTTAGGCTCTCTGGTACAGAGTTGGTCAGTCTGCTGGGTCCCCAGACAGCTCCAGGTAGTCCTTAGTGGGGAAATTACCCGAGGTCCCCAGGTGAATAGTCACACCCATTCTTCCATGACAGTCTGAACAGAGGATCCAAGATGGCTGATGAGGACCCCGTGGGAGGTGGGGCAGCCCTGGTGTTCATACTCCAGCTGACTATGGAGAGGGCATCACTGGATAGAACTGAGATGGTGCCAGGTTCTGGTGGCTCTGCTGCCCATCTGGCCTGCCCTGGCTGCTAGTTTCGCCGGACTGGGTGCCACATGGACACAGGCCTGCGCAGCGTGGCCAGCATCTGGTTCCAGTGTGTGGTGCCCATGCCACTGGCTGCTGGCCCAATGATGACATGCCCCACGTTGTCCCCACGGCCATCACTGCTGCTCTCAGCCACTGTCACTCGGAGAGACAGGTCCTGGGGAGAAGAAGACATAAGAGATTGGGACCAGGAGCAGCTGAAGGGTCCTCCCTGGCTCCAAGGTCCCAACTTGTGAATACCAGGCCCTGTGAGGTATGTACAGCTCTCGGGATCTTCCCACATGACTTGGGAGTGGAGGCTTGTCCTAGTTACTTACAGATGGATAGCCAGCTATGATGTGACTTTGCTAAGTGCTAAAAGTGACAGTTGCCGCAGGATTTAAAACCCATCTCTCACTTCTTTGTCCCTCAACATTTTTTTCTTTAAGATTTATTTTATTTTTGAGTTTGAAAAGATGGATCAGCAGTTAAGTACACTTGCTGTTCTTGCAGAGGACCCTTGTTTAATTCCCACCCCCCACATGGTGGTTCAGTAACTCCAGTTCCTGGGTATCGGAACCCTCTTCTAGCCTTTGTGGGCACCAGGCACACTTGTGAACCATCTGAAGTGGGTGCTGGGATCAGAACTCTGTAAGAGAAGTATGTGCTCTTCACCTCTGAACTATATATCCAGCCCTGCTTGTCCTTGAGATAGAGTCTCATGTAGACCAGGCTGGCTTTGAACTTGCTATGTTGTTGAGGCTGTACTTGAACTACTGATCTTCCTGCCTTGGCCTCCCAAGTATTAGGATTACAAGTGTGTGCTACCATATCAGGCTTAGAACTTAGGCTGTTTATTTATTTATTGTTGGTCTTAATTTTTTTGGTTTGTTTTGCCTTTTTAAAAAAAGATTTTTATACCCAGGCAGTGGTAGTACACGCCTTTAATCCCAGCACTTGGAAGGCAGAGGCAGGTGGATCTCTGTGAGTTCAAGGCCAGCCTGGGCTACAGAGTGAGTTCCAGGAAAGTCTCCAAAGCTGCACAGAGAAACCCTGTCTTTTTTTTTTTTAACTTTTATTTACTTTTATTTTTTGTGCATTGGTATTTTGCCTGCAGGTCAGATCTTTGAGCTACAGTTGTTAGCTGCCATGTGGGTGCTGGGATTTGAACCCAGGTCCTTTGGGAGAGCAATCAGTGCCCTTAACCACTGAGCCACCATGCAGCCCCCAAAACCCTGTCTTGAAAAACCAAAAAAAAAAAAAAAAAGTTTTTTATTATATGTATATGAGTGTTTGCCTGCAGGTGAGTATGTGCATCACATGTGTGCAGTGCCCAGAGAGGCCAAAGGAGGGCGCTAGATCCCCTGAAAATGGAGTTACAGATGGTTGTTAGCCACCATGTGGGTACTGGGAACTGAACCCAGGTCCTCCGGAAGAGCAGCAAGTGCACTTAACTGCTGAGCCGTCTCTCCAGTCCCTTGCTTTGTTTTCTTTTTGTTGTTGTTGTTTTCATTTGTTTATTTGTTTGTTTCTGAGACAGAGTGTCTCTGTGTAAGTGTAATAGCCTTGGCCCTCCTGGAACCAGGCCTGCTTCTGCCTCCCAAGTACTGGGATTAAAGGAAAGTACCACCCGGTCCAGCTCCCTTGCTTTGTTGTTTTCCGACAGTCTCACTACGTAGCCCTTGCTAGCCTGCGGTTGCAGTTCACTATGCAGACCTGCCTGGTCTCAAACACATAGAGATCAGCCTGCCTTGGCCTCCCGAATACTGGAACTAAGGGCGTGTGCTGCCATTGCCACCTTATTATTTATATTTATCTATAGTTTAGGCTGGCCTCAAAATCCCTACAGGGTGGAAGATGACCTTGAACTTCTGATCCCCCTGTTCCCAGCTCCTGAGTGAGTGCACCACCGTGCCTGGTTCATGAGGTGCGGGGTGTGTGTGTGTGTGTGTGTGTGTGTGTGTGTGTGTGTGTGTTGGAAACCCTGGATCCTGTGTGTGCTGAACAAGTGCTCTAGCATCTGGGCTTTGGGACTTGGGCCTGTGCTACCTGCTTCTTTGTCTTTAAAATGTGACAGCATTTCCTACTCCATTGGGCTGTTCTGGGAAGAAAATGAATTAAACATGTAGGTGGGGAGAAAAATCTAAAAACAACGTGTGACTCGCTGCTGGCCCATCAACAGAGCACTCACAGGGGTCTCACTGTTACGGCATCATCATGTGAGATCACAGTGAGGGGTAGGGTTAAGTAGAAACGTGTTTGAGATGCTAGCCTGACTGTTCCTACCTCGTCCTGCAGCAGCTTCGAGGCTGGAGGGAAATGGCATTGTTTGTGACAAGCAGGCCACAGCAGAGGTCAAATGGGTGGACTGTCCAGTAAGGGACAAGGTTATGGTCCTAGGACCAGCTGAAATGCTGGAATGTTGCCTGGATTCCTAGATTTGGGACACCCGGCGTGAGGCTAACATCCAGCTTTTAAATCTAAGGGGCTGGCAGGGTAGCTCAGTGGTAAAGTGGTTGTGTAGCACACAAAGCCTTGGATTCATCATCAGCACTGAAAAACAAAGAAATCCCCAAGAGCATCCCTAGAAGGGGACTAGGTGAGCCCCGCACAGTCCCTTGGCTGCAGGGCCGACTTCAGTACAAGGACCAAAGGACTTTCTAATTGTTAGGCGTGCCTAAGGATAGAAAGAGACAGTGAGAGGAGGGAGTGAGATCCCCACTCTGACTGGTATGGCTTAAGCTCTATTCTCTGTGGTTCATTCCACCACCCCCAAACAGTAGCCTGTGATATCCCTGTGTCGGGAGAGTCTGCCCAGACGCACATAGTCGTCTGGAAGCTGTAGGGTGAGAAGATGCTGGTGGGGCCCTTACAGCAGGACCTCTGACGGTTTAGGCCCTCACCCCTGGGCCCTGGGGTTACCTCTAGCTCATCTTCAGGCAGTGTGGTTCCTCAGAGCTCAGCTGAGCTGTCACTTCCTGCAGGAAGTCTCCCCTGACTGTTAACGCTGGGGAAGCTTCCAATGGGGTTTACAAAGTCTGGGGACTCCCCTACCTGTCCTTTGTAGGCATAAAGCAGAGCCTGGGTCCCTCACCACAGGCTGGCACGTAGTGGTGGGCTCAATCAATGATAAACTAGAAGGAGGTTGGCTTGAGGTCCCATGAGGCAACACTGGAGGGATGCAGCGGCCCAGAGTCCTGTGAGGATCCAGCACCCCTCACCTGTAGCACAATGGCTGGTACCGAGAAGATCATGGCTTCGTTGAACACCGGGTTGGGGTCATCCCTCTTCACAGCTGTCTTCTTCTTGCTCATTTTCCTCCCGTCCTGCAGCAGGTACACTTTGACGAAGGGGTCTACAGGTAGGCATGCGGGGGAGGGTCAGTAACACGCTTGCTTGGCGTGGCCCTGTCTACTCTGGTTCCACCCACTGCCTCCGAGTCCCTGACCCTTGGCTATTGCCATTATCTCCAAAGTCCACTGTTTGATATTTATTTATATATATTAAGAAAAGGAGCTGGGCAGGGTGGTGGCGGCACAGGACTTTAATCCCAGCATTTGGGAGGCAGAGGCAGGTGGATTTCTGTGAGTTCAAGGCTAACCTGGTCTATAGAGCTAGTTCCAGGACAACCAAGGCTACACAAAGAAATCCTGTTCTGAAAAAAACAATCAAAAAACAAAAAAGAAAAAAAGGAAGAAAGAAAGAAAGAAAGAAAGAAAGAAAGAAAGAAAGAAAGAAAGAAGGAAAGAAATGTAGCCATGCAGTAGTGACACATGCTTTTTTTTTTTTCTTTTCTTTTTTTTTTTTTTTTTGGTTTTTCGAGACAGGGTTTCTCTGTAGCTTTGCGCCTTTCCTGGGACTCACTTGGTAGCCCAGGCTGGCCTCGAACTCACAGAGATCCACCTGCCTCTGCCTCCCGAGTGCTGGGATTAAAGGCGTGCGCCACCACCGCCCGGCGACACATGCTTTTAATCCCAGCAACTAGAAGGCAGAGGCAGGCAGATCTTTGAGTTCAAGGCCAACTTGGTCTACAGAGTGAGTTCTAAGACAGCCAAGGCTACACAGAGAAACAAAAACAAAACAAAACACCCTTCCCCTCCCCCCCAAAAGAAATTGGATCTCATTATGTGTTCCAGGCTGGTTCTAAACTCCTAAACTTAAGGGATCCTCCTACTTTAGACTCCTGAGTTGCTGAGACGAAAGTTGCAAACTACAATGACTGGCTTGATAGATCATATTTTTATCTATCTATCTATCTATCTATCTATCTCTCTCTCTCTCTCTCTCTCTCTCTATCTATCTATCTATCTATCTATCTCTCTATCATCTATCTCTCTATCTATCTATCATCTATCTCTCTATCTATCATCTATCTATCTATCTATCTATCTATCATCTATCATCTTACCTATCATCTATCAATCTATCTATCTATCTATCTATCTATCATCTATCATCTTACTTATCATCTATCTATCTATCTATCTATCTATCATCCATCTGCCTATCTATCTGCCTATCTATCTATCTATCTATCTATCTATCTATCTATTTTTGGGTCTTTTAAGACTGGTTTCCAGGAGCTAAGCAATGGTGTGCTCACCTTAATCCCAGCACTCGGGAGACAGAGGCAGGCGGATCTCTGTGAGTTCAAGGCCAACTTGGTGTACAAAGCAAGTTCCAGGACAGCCAGGGCTGTCACACACAAAAAAACAAAAAACAAACCAAACCAAACAAACACAAAAAACAAAAACAAAAAAAAAAGACTGTTTTTGTGTCACCACCACCTGGCTTATTTAAGATTTACTTTTATTTTGATTTATCTATTTAAATTATGTACATCGTCGGTGTCTCTGCATGGGTGTACATGAGTGCAGTGCCTGCAGAGTCTAGATGAAGGTGTCAGAGATCTGGAGTTACAGGCAGTTGCAAACCACCCGATGTGGGTGCTGGGAACCAAATTTCAGTCCTCCCCAAGAGCAGCAAGTGCTCTTAGCCTTGGAGCACTCTCTGAAGCTCTGTGTATTTTTGAGACAGTGTCTTGCTATGTAACACAGGTTGTGTTGGAGCCCACTAGGCTTCCTGCTTAAGAGGTTGAGTGGACCACGGGCCTGGGCACCAGGTGACTGTAACTAGCAAGGGGGAGGTCTTTTGCTCCACCCCTTGGCATTGTTATAAATAGACCTTTGGAATAAAGTTCTGGGCTGGTGGATAAGGATCGACCCAAGTCTATCCTGTGTTTTCTCTCTGTTTCTCTCCTTACTTCTAACTAAATCTCTTATCCTTCAATCCTCAAGAGTTCCTGCGGTAAATAAATGTGGGGATTGGTCCTCCACAAGATTGGCCTTGAATTTCTTTTTTAATTTTTTTTTTCATTTTATATACCAACCACAGTTCCCCCTGTCTTCCTTCCTCCCACTCTCCACCTACTCCTCAGAGAAGGGCAGGCCTCCCATGGGGAGTCAGCAAAGCCTGGCATGTCAAGTTGAGGCAGGACCAAGCCCCTCTCCCCTGCAACAAGTCCATAGGGAATGGGCTCCAAAAAGCCAGTTCATGCACCAGAGATAAATCCTAGTCCCATTGCCAGAGGCCTCACAAACAGACCAAGCCACACAACTGTCACCCACATTCAGAGGGCCTAGTTCGGCCCCATGCAGACCGCCCAGCTGTCAGTCCAGAGTCCAGAGCTCCCACTAGCTCGGGTCAGCTGTCTCTCTCTGTAGGTTTCCCCGTCATGATCTTGATCCCCCCCACACACTCCCATATAGCCCCTCCTCCCTCTCTTCAACAGGATTCCTGGAGCTCAGAGCTCAGCTGGGGCTTGGCTGTGGATCTCTGCTTCTGCTAACTTGTTCCTATCTCTTTCTTCCCCTTCCCTCAAAGAATAACGTGCCCAGGTGTGCACAGGGCTCGTTACAGGGTGTTTAAAACACTTCCATGTAGCACAGAGCTCCCTCAGCAAGCATAGCAGAGAGGTAAGCTACTCTTCAAAGATAGAAAAGTCACGTTTCTCCCACCCTCGGGGATGGGGCACATTGGTAGGTGAGGTAAGAGCTAAAATCAAAGTCTCAGTTAATTGGTCTATGAGAAAACATTCCTCATTACAACAAAAAGCCTAAGAGAGAAGGAGTTTCTTTACGCAGAAAGCAGAAGTTGGGTGTCAGTAGGAGGTACTCGTCTGACTACCCAAGAACCTCAAAAAGGACAAGGCCTTGAATTTGTAATCCTAGTGCCTCACCCCACAGAATGCTAGCGGCCACCATACCTGCTTTGCTATTGGGCATGGATTGATTGACTGATATTGAGAGACAAGGTCTCACTATGTGTTCCAGGCTGGTTCTGACCTCCTGGGCTTAAGGGATCTTCCTGCCTCAGCCTCCTGAGTAGCTGGGCCTGAAGTCAACACCACTATGCATAGCTGGATGTTGTCTTGAGGATGACCTTGAGTTTCTGACTTCCTGTCTACACCTCCTGAGTACAAAGATTGTAGTCCTGTATTACAATGTTGGGGTTTTTGCTGTTGTTTTGTTTTGTTTTGGAGACAGAGTTTCACTGTGTTGCGTAGCCTTGGCTGTCCTGGAACTCACTCTGTAGACCAGGCTGGCTTCAAACTCACAGAGATCTGCCAACTCTGCCTCCCGAGTGCTGGGATTAAAGGTGTGCGCCACCACTGCCGCCGCCGGCGGGGCCCATGTTGTGTTTTATGCAGTGTGATTACTGAACCCAAGGCTTCATGCATGCTAGACAAGCACTCTGTCAACGGAGCTACATCCCCAGACCCTTGATATTATTTCCAATCCACTTTCCAGTTGAGAAACCCAAGTTCTCACGGCCAGTCAAGAGAGGGCAGCCTGCTGCAAATTTCCCTCCCAGCACTCCACGGAAGGTGGCAGACCAGATGCTTCCTTTTCTATTAGTGGCCTGAGCGCAGACAGCAGACCTGAGTGACTGCATTCCAGCACAGCAGAGCCTCACAGTGTGCAGCTCGGAGACACCAAGTCTTCCTGCTGCCTGGGGCCCTAGGTAGTCAAGTCCCAATAGGTCCCAATAGGGTGTTAGATCCCACATGGCACCCACCCCAAGGGTTGGGACACTGCTCCCCATTGAAAGTCTGGGTTGCTGTCCGGTCTCTGAGCTCCATCTGACAAACGGATGCCGACCCTCCGTTGCTTGTCTGGTGCCACAGCACCAGTGTTGGCTCCTGCCCTCAGAAACCACCACTTCCCTTTTATTCTGTACTCCACACCCAGGGCTGCTTGTCACCCTCCAGGGTGCCCATGTTTCTCCAGCTGAATTAACCTTTCCCCACCATGCCTGGCTCCTGAGCCGAGCTGAAGCCACAGGGGCCCTGGCCCTGTGCCCAGTTTATGCTCACACCACCACAGCTCCCCCTGAGCCACATGGAGGAACTGAGAACATAGGCCCTCACCTGCTGTGGTCTTGTCATTGGTCCAGATAAGATTCTTGGCTTTCACCACAACCACAGTCAGACGCTCAGCCGTGGGCAGGTAACTGAGGGACAGCAGGATCTCTCCCACAGCATCAGCAGCCTGTGGAAATAGGTAAGGCTCAGGAGACTTCTGCCCTCCAGGGTCGAAGGGTCTAGGGAAAGGTGGATGCTTCCTTCTCCACTGGAAAGCCGCTGCTTTCGGGGTAACTCTTAAACCTAGGCACGAGGCTGGCAGATTGAGATAAGGACAACCTCCCCACCACCCTACACCAAGGAGCATGCACAGCCCCTCCCTTGCTCCGGATGGAGACCATGCCTTGGAAGGAGGCCCAGAGGTGGCCTGTCAAGTGCATCAATCAGATGCAGTTTTGTTCCCTCATTGGGGCCGAGGAAAACCTCCTGTGACTAGTGTGAAGAGATCCAAGTTGACAGCGTTTGCCTGAGCGGTAGTGTTGCCTGGCATTGCTACAAGAGTAAGCTTCAGGTGGGCCCCTGTCTGAAACAGCCCTCCTTAGGCCTAGGCATCCCTAACAGCATCTTATATAAATAGAGCCTCTGATGATGTGGAGTAAGCAGAGATGAGGGGCTGGAGATGACTCAGCAGCTAAGAGCACTGGCGGCTTTTCTGGAGACCCAGGTTCAGTCTCCACCACCCACAATGCAGCTCACAACCATATGTAACTCCAATCCAGGGGATTGGACATCCTCTTCTGACCTCCACGGGCATGAGACATGTACATAGTACACACACACACACACACACACACACACACACACACACACACACACACACACACATCCAGGCAAACCAGGCAAATACTCATAAGATTAAATAAATAAAACATAAAATAATAAATAAATACTAAAAAATAAAAAAAAAGAAAACTGAGAAGCGGGCTACAGAGCTGGCTCAGTGGGTAAAAGCACTTGTCATTAACCCCAATGACCTGAGTTCAATACCCATAACCCACACGGTGAAGGAGAGAACCCAGAAGACAAGAGGTCTTCTGACTTCTACATGTGTGTGTATGCATGCCCATACACACATGCATACAGAAAACACAATAAATACATAAATAAATACAATGTTAAAAAATCAAAGAAGAGGGGGCTGGAGAGATGGCTCAGCAGTTAAGAGCACTGGCTGTTCTTCCAGAGGACCCAGGTTCAATTCCCAGCACCTACATGGCAGCTCACAACTGCCTGTAACTCCGGTTCCAGGCTAGCGGACAGCTTCATGCAGGCAAAACACCAGGGCACATAAATAAAAATAAAAATTAAAAAAAAAATCAAAGAAGAACTGTAAGCAGTGGTGTCTACAGGATGCTTTTGCCACCACAGGCAGTGGTTTGTTTCCCGAGAGTGTGGCTTGGAACCCCTTCTCTGTTCTCCTAACGCTGTCAGGGTCCGGGTCGAGGGAAGTGGGTGTGTGTATTCTCTCCTCGGGTGAACGGGTAAGCCAAACGGGTGATACCTTATTCTGGTCCTGTAAGTATAGCCAGCCGCTGAAGGGCTGCAGCTGGAGATCCAGAACAGACAGCTTCAGTTCCACCACACCGGTGCTCACGTTCCGCTCATCCTCATCGATGCCGAACACAGAAAACCGAAGGCTCTTCTCCTCCAGGGCTGTGGGATCCAGGGGGACAGAGAACTTCTCATCGAAGAAGATGGAATAGGCATTCCTCTGGATCTATAGAGAGAAGGGGCCGTGGAGGGGCTTTCTGGTACCCACAGTCTCAGTTCTGGTCCTCCTTTATGTGGCTCAGCCTTAAACATTTGTTTCCTTGCCTGGTGGTGGCGCACACCTTTAATCCCAGCACTTGGGAGGCAGAGCCAGGCGGATCTCTGTGAGTTTGAGGCCAGCCTGGTCTACAGAGTGAGATCCAGGACAGGCTCCAAAGCTATGCAGAGAAACAAACAAAAAGATTTGTTTCCTTCATTTTGTTTGTTTTGAGACTGGTTCCCAAATAGCTCAGGAGGAACTCCTGAATTTTCTGCCATTAACTCCAAAATGCTAGGATTACAAGCATGACCCTCCATACTGTACCTCCCTGTCTTTTTCATTTCTGAGACAGGATCTCACTATGTAGCTCTGGCTGTCCTGGAACTCACTCTGTAGACCAGGCTGGCCTCGAACTCACAGAGATCCGCCTGGCTCTGCCTCCCAAGTGCTGAGATTAAAGGCGTGCGCCACCACCGCCCGGCTGTTTGATTGGTTTTTGATTGTTTTGAGACAGGATCTCATGTAGTCCAAGATAGCCTCAAATTTATTATGTAGCCAAGGGCAACCTTGAATTCCTGATTTCTCTATCTCTGAAATGTTGAGGTCACCTTGAAGGCTTAAAAGCCCTAATGTCTCCTCCTTGGTTATGGTCAACCCACAGGCCTGGCATTAGAAGCTTCCATAATTGAATCCCAGAAACCCTCATCCTCACAAGATGCTGTGGCTGCACTGGTCTGTCTCTCCTGTCTGCCCAACTTAGCACAGCCGTGGAGCAGGCGTGCAGTGGGAGCCAGACAACTGTCTGGAGATAAACAGCCACTAACACCACAGCCCCCTGTAAACCCTGGCGAAGACTTTCTGATTGTCATAGGATGGATGGATGAGTGGACAGATAGACAGATGGATGGAGTGACTAGGCAGAGTTGGGCATGCTTCATTCTCCAGCTCACTTCTGCTTTTGGATGCCATTGGCCTCCTCCCAGGAAGTTGTGGGCAGTCCTCAGGGAGGGGCACGTGAGGATCCGCTTGCCCTTCCGTGGGGGGCCGTCTGAGTCACTGCGCAGTGGTATTCAGAGAGCAGATCTCATCCCTGGCACCTTCTCTGAAGCTGAGGGGGATGTCTGACCTGGAGGCAGCTGCACCCCACCCACACAGTGAGACTGCCAGGCTGTGATGTCATGAAGCCTATCTTCCTAGGAGCAAAGTAGCCTCTAGTTACTCTGATCTCACCCTTCTGTCTCTGCTGGGCTCTGGAAGGTTCTTCCTGTAGCCACTCTAGCCCAATGCACAAACCTGGAGCCATATTGCCACACAGTGCTCTGTCTCAGACTCTCCCAAGCTTCTGTCCACCAATGTCCCTCCTCAAGGGACATGTCCTGAGTCACCCAAGGTCTTTCACGTGGCTCAGGCCAAGAGCAACATAATGTGTATCAGGCTCAACAGCAGCTCTTCATGGTCTGAGAACTGCTCCTGACTACGTACCAAGGACTGAGTTAAGCACTTGGCAAGTATAAACCCAGCCCTTCTTCATAATTGTGACGCTTATTTGACAGATGGGGAACTGAAGCCAGCTGCTTAAGTGACTTGCTCAAGGTCACACTGCCAGGCAAAGGTGGAACTTGGATTTTAAACTGATTTCTAACTACCCACTGCCACTGTACTGCCAGTAGAAAATTAGACCCTTGGTACCACATGTATAGAGAGCTGGTGGTTAGTTCTAGAATCTTCTAGAGTCACAGGGGTACTATGGAGGAATGGGAGTGGAATATCCATCACGGAGAGACAGCCAATTAATGTTCAATGTGGTAAAAGTGATTGGACACATGGGTCTCCAAGAACACAGAGACCCTTGGTTGACCTGGCCCATCTCAGAGGGCTCGGGATCTGGACTCCTACCAGCCTGCTGCTGGGCAGTGGGTATGGCTGTGGAAGTGTGGCACCTTGGAGGTATCCAGTGACCTCCTTGTTGGAGCCATCTCCTTCTTTCCTCTTGATTGCTGACTGTCAAGGGCTGCCAGCATGTTCCCTTGGTCTCTGGCTTCCAGCAGGGTGAGCCACTGGGGTCACCAGAAGAAAACAGAGATCAGAGGAAGGATGAAGTTTCCCTGGCGGCCGACCCCACCCTCTCACGAAAGAACACAGCTCCTGTGAAGGTGGCCCTTTCATTTGGGGTCCAGAAGCTCACTTTCTTCTCATGGTTTTTTCAGTTCCTAGGGTGGGCCACCCTTCTTGTTCACAAACTCATGGAACCATGCTGCCACCAAGGCCACCCTCCCCCACCCACTCCAAAGCAAACAGCAAATGAGCCTGTCAGTGAGTTCTCTCCCAGATCAGCCAAATGGGCAGGCCATCTTTCTTCTTGCCAAGACTCCATGTTGACAGATGTGGAAGTGGACAGTTACTCACTGTCCTTGAGTGTTAGGAAGATTGGTACACAGCAGAGACACAAAGCAGGTTCTATGCCTGGCCGGTCTACACTGGAGCCACATTCTGATCTTCTCTCCAGCGCCCCCTGTCATCCTGTCTGGTACTGCAGATCTGCCCACCAGCCCAGATGTCAGCTTCCCTGGAGGACTTCAGGGAACAAGGCCTCACTTACCCGGGAGATGCCAACAATCTGTTCATCTGGCAGCAGACTGACGCGCATGAAGCAGGACTCGAAGGTGGCCTCCTCCCGCTCCAGGAGGTCCTTGCCTTGCAGCACTGCCACGTGGAGGGTGTGGGAGGCCGCATCGTAGTCCATGCTCACCTCCACCTGGCCCAATGTGAAATCCTGCCCAAAGGTGTTGCTCACAGAAGAAATGGAATTCAGAGAGTCAGCCGACTGTGACTTGCGGAGAGTACCATAGGGGGCTAGGTCCAGTTCCCGGCCCATCAGCTCCAGGGGTCCCAGCTCACTGATGCTCTCAAAGGTGTCCTCAATACTGAGGCTGCCTTTGCGGCTGGATGGTCCTCGAGTGTTGGTCCGCTGGGCAGTCCACTGAGGGACTCTCTGTGGGTGAATAAAAGGGACAGGGAAGCATCACATGGGTCCCAGGCACCGTCTCTAGGGGATAGCAGAAATGACCTTTGCATGTTTGTTCAAGGTACCCTAGGCTCTCCTTTCACAAAACCAGCCGAGGGGAAGGAACTATTACTTCAGGCCACTTCGTTTCTCTTTCTCTCAACACAGGAACTCGCTATATACCCCAGGCTGGGCTGGAACTCCTGACCCTCCTACTTTAACCCCTGAGTGCTGGGGTCATGCACCAACCACATCTAGCTCAGTTTTCTCTCCTTAACAAAAACGGAAGAAAGCATTTTCTTAAACTACTTATTCGTTGTGACAAAATTCCATACATAAAAATGTCGACTGCAACGACATTTATGGAAAGACAAAGCTGCTGCGTGTGGAGGAGCACATATACAACCCCAAGATTTGGGAGGTGAAAACAGAAGGATTAGGGGTTCAAGGTCAGCCTCAGGTTCCTGCGATCTGGTCTCAAAACAACCACACAACAATAGCAATCTAAGTGTCCGAAAGAAGGGTTAAGAGTCGGGAGTCACAGTCACTCCACAGATGGCTGAGGAGCCCCAGAGAAAGACGATAAAAAACGTAACACGAAGGCCAGTGAGATGACTCAGAAGGCACAGGTGTCTGCCGCCAAGCCTGATGGCCTGAGTTGGACTCCCAGGGTCCACACGATGGAAGGAGAAAAATGTCTCCTACAAACTGTCATCTGACCTCCACACACGTGCCTGTATAGCCAAGGACAGCCTTGAATCGCTGGTCTTTATGACTCTGTCCCTTGCATGCGAAGAATGACAGGCTGTGCCACCACACCCAGCCTCAGCTTTCTTTTCTTTTGTTTTTTTGAGACAGGTCTCACTAGGTACCCCTGACTGGCCTGGAACTCACTGTGCAAACCAGGGTAGCCTTGAACTCACAAAGATCTGCTTGCCTTTACTTCAGAGTTCTGGATTGAAAGGCATGTGCCACCAACGAGCAACCTTCAAATAGCTTTCTTAAAATCCTGACTCAGAGGACAGTCCTTTTGACAGTTTCCAACAGGTGTTGCCAAAATGCTTCTTGGAAAAGTTGTCCCAATTTACACTCCCCCTGACAGAGTAGCAGGAGCCCACCAAATGAGTGAGCATCTGATCTGGTAGCGGAATCCTGCTGTGCTCTCTGAAACTGTATGTGATGCCTGGAAAATCCTCAGCCAAGTATTAAATGATCTCAGACTCAGCAGTATATATGAGAATCTTAAAAATAAATCCTAGGGCTGGAGACACTGGGTGGCTAAGAGCCAAAGGTTCAGTCCACCTAGGACACATCACCATGTGGCTGGCTGCTCATGACACTTGTATGTCCAGTTCAGGGGGTCTGATGCTCTCGACTGGTCTCTTCAGGCACCAAGCATGCATGTGGTGCACAGACATACATGCAGGCCAAACCCTTATCTTGACTTTTTTTTCAAGACAGAGTTTCTCTGTGTAGCCCTGGCTGTCCTGAAACTAGATCTGTAGACCAGGCTGGCCTCAAACTCAGAGATTCACCTGCCTCTACCTCCAAAGTGCTGGGGTTAAAGGTGTGTGCCACCTTGCCTGGCTAAGATTTTTTTTTTTTTTAAAAATTGTATATGGCCAGGCATGGTGGTTCTGTGAGTTCCAGGAGATCCTGGTCTGCAAAGCAAGTTCCAGGACAGCCAGGGCTGTCACACAAAGAAACCCCATGTCGAAAAACCAAAAATAAATAATAATAATAATCTAAAAAATTATATGTAGGTTTATTTATCTATTTATTTTGGTTTATCGAGACAGGGTTTCTCTGTGTAGCTTTGCGCCTTTTCCTGGAACTCACTTGGTAGACCAGGCTGGCCTCGAACTCACAGAGATCCGCCTGCCTCTGCCTCCAGAGTGCTGGGATTAAAGGCGTGCGCCACCACTGCCCGGCATATGTAGGTTTATATGTCAGACATGTATGTGCCTGTCAGTGCAGGTGCGTGCAGAGACCAGAGGCATCAGATCCCCTGGAACTGGAGTTGTAGAGGATTGTAAGCTAATCTACACAGGTGCTGGGAACCAAATTTGGATCCTCTCTGCCCACATGATAGCTTTTTTTTTTTTTTTTAATTGTGGATTGGGGATTTAGCTCAGTGGTAGAGCGCTTGCCTAGCAAGCACAAGGCCCTGGATTCGGTCCTCAGCTCCGGGAAAAAAAAAATTGTATTTATTTATTTAGTGTGAATATGTGTAGACACTTGCGAAATCGTCTGTGAGTGTGGAGGTCAGAGGACAACTCTCAGGAGCCAATTCTCTTCTTCCACCATGTAGGTCTCCAGGCTCAAACTCAGGTCGTCAGACTTGGTAGTCAGTCCTTACTCAGTGAACCACCTCACCAGCCCAAGTGATAGATTTGTTTGTTTGTTTGTTGAGACAAGGTTTCTCTGTGTAACAGGCTGGCCTGGAACTCACTCTGTAGACCAGGTTGACCTTGAACTCACAGAGATCCTCCTGCTTCTGCCTCCTGAGTGCTGAGACTAAAGGCGTGCGCCACCACACCTGGCTTCAGCCTTGATAGTTTTTTTTTTTTTTTTCAGCCTTGATAGTTTTAAAAACTGATCAATCACTTACTCAACATCATTTATTCAACAAGCACAGGGGTAGAAGTTGACAATCTGCAAGGGTATAAGGTCAGTCTGTTCCCCCTTCACAGAGGGGGCGAGGCCTGGAGGCTGACCCTCAGAATGGATGGTGGGATGCTGCAGATCTGCAGGGGTGGAGCCTCACCTTCAGCTTAGCCTCCACGTAGGCCTCTCCGTATTTTTGCTGCAGGTACCTGTAGTCGTAATTGGGGAACGGGGAGGGGCTGGGGAAGCTCCCTGATGTCCAGAGCTTCCACAGACTCACAGCTGCGATTCCAAGCAGCGCCAGGGCCCCTGCTGCGTAGACACCCACCTCCCAGCCTGGGGGGCTCTTGATGACTGCAAGACAAGGACAGCCTGTCATTAGTGGGGTACAGTGATCACCAGGGAAAAAGTTGATTACTTTTTTTTTTTTTTTTTTTCTGAGACAGGGTTTCTCTGTGTAGTTTTGGTGCCTGTCCTGGATCTCACAGGCTGACCTCAAACCTCAAAATCCACCTGGCTCTGCCTCCCGAGTACTGGGACTAAAGGCTTGCGCCGCCGCCGCCGCCACCACCACCAGGCAAAGTTGATTACTATTGGTACTTACATATTTTCATGTTTTATGTGCTTGACTTTTTTTTATTATGTGAGTATGCATGAATGTATATGCATGAATGGGTGTGCATGCACAGGTGGGTGTATGCACGTGGCGGCCAAAGGTCAACCTAAGGTGGTGTTCTTCAGAAGATGCCCACCTTGTTTTTTGACACAAGTTCTGTTAGTTGGCCAGTGAGCCCCAAGGATCCCATGTCTCTGCTTCCCCAGTGACGGGATTATAAACACATGCCATCCTGACTTTCACATGGATGCTGGGGGACAAACTCAGGTCCTCAATCTGGCATGGCGACCATTGTACTGACAGAGACACCACCTCTTAAGGCCTTGTTTTCTGGTTTTTGGAGATGGGTTCATGTAGCCCAGGCTGGCCTCAAACTTGCTATGTAGCTGAGATGACTTGAGCTCCTAATCCTCCTTCCACTGCCCAGGGCACCACCTACCTAGTGATACTTATCTACTAAACACATCGCTTTGCTTTGGTTTTTCAAGACAGGGTTTCTCTTTGTAGCTTTGGAACCTTTCCTGGAACTCGCTCTGTAGACCAGGCTGGCCTTGAACTCACAGAGATCCACCTGCCTCTGCCTCCCGAGTGCTGGGATTAAAGGTGTGCGCCACCACTGCCCAGCCTAAACATGTTTTATTGAAAAAAAGTGTGTGTGGGGGGGGGTCAGCAAGATGGCTCACTGAGTAAAGGTGCTTGCCACCAACTGATGACCTGGGTTTGACCCCTGAGACACCATATGGTAGAAGAACATAACCAACTGCTATAAATTGTCCTCTGTCCTTCATACAGGGGCCATGGCAGGCCTACACACATATACAAACCATAATTAAATGAGTAAATAAATGAACATGCAGTAAATAAACATTTAAAAAAGAAAATCAAAATTTGTATTTAAAAAGGTTAGTATTTTGCTGGGCAGCGGTGGCATCCAGGAATGAAGCCCCTGTAGACACTGAGGGACAACTATAGAAGAACTGCTTAAGAGGCTGGGGAGGTGGCTTGAACAAGCACGAAGACCCGAGTTCAGATCCCCAGCACTGACATAAAAGCCAGGTGTGGTGGCTCGTGTCTGCAACCCTAGTGCTGTACAGACACACATGCAGGCAAGACATCCACACAGGAGAAAAACGCAATAGAAAGAGGCGTGGCAGCCTGTGCAACACGGGCTAGGAGCTGTGGGCCAGCAGAAAGGGGGTGGTGACGAGGGACCCGAGCCCAGGGGGAGGGAGAGAACAAGGCACTGTGGGCCAGAAGGGCGCCTTGTCTCTGCTCCCCGAAGTCCAACAGTCCAAAGGTCAGGGCTGGACCTTCCGCCAGGCATTCTCCAGCAATGCGCACTTAACGCTGTCACAGAGGAAAACCTGGGCTGACAACGTCACACAGCTGAGACACACACCATCTGGCCGCAAGGTATATCATCACCATGTCACCGGCCTCTCTGAGCTTCAGTGTCCTCACTGAGAGAGTGGAGGGGACAAGCGTCCCCCCTTCAGTGGTCCCACCCCAGAGGGTGTGTTATTTGAAGGGGAAAAATCCCAACACATGTTGTGTCTAGTGTGACTCACCCGGCTTATTTATAACAGAGGCGCTCTGAGAACATCCTGAAGGTCCCACCAAGGGAGCTGCCGGGGGTTGGCTGTTCTGTCATAGACAGGGACATCATTGGCTTTTGAGAATGACATCTCAGGTCATTAGGATGCAGGTGATAAGGGACAATGCTAGCATTAAGAAAAAAATAAGCCGGGCGGTGGTGGCGCACGCCTTTAATCCCAGCACTTGGGAGGCAGAGCCAGGCAGATCTCTGTGAGTTCGAGGCCAGCCTGGGCTACCAAGTGAGTTCCAGGAGGGGCGCAAAGCTACACAGAGAAACCCTGTCTCGAAAAACCAAAAAAAAAAAAAAAAAAGAAAAAAATAAAATCACTCTCCAACATGATAGATTTCAATGTAAAAAAAAATAATCACACAGCATAGGGACAAAGGTTTGCAGACCAGGCTAGTGCTTCAATCAGGGTGTGCCAGGTGTGATTGCACATGCTTGGAATCCCAGCACTTGGGAAATGGAGGCAGGAGGATCGGGAGTCCAAGTCATCTTCAGTTTTAGAGAGAGTTGAAGGAACTGTAAGCATGAACCCCCTAATTATTCTAGATTTTTCCTGTGATATAATAGAATCGGGGAGCCAACTGGAACCACAACCAAGACACCTAAAGAGGGGCCCAGGCCCGGGCACATCAGGATCTGGAATGTCCTCAGAGTCTACAAACAGGGGGTGAGATGGGAAAGCACCTGGCCAGCTGGGCCGCAGCAGGCCAGGCAGGAACAAGGGGCTGTCTCAAGTTCCAGAAGGGAGGCCCAAGGTCCCAAGAGGATTATAGGCATATCCAGGGGCACAGCGGAGTCAGTCACCCCTGCATGTGAGGGTCTAGGTGCTGAGTACTAAATCTTCAGTACTAGTCAGCAGCTAGGGGTGGCAGAGATAGGGTCAGGGAAAGAAAAATCCAGGCAGGTGACATGGAATGACAATTAGTCCACATTTATTGACTGATTTTGTGAAATTCCAGGAGGGACAGTGGGTGTGTCAATGGAAATGATGCCTAATCTAAGCCTACACATGAGAGGAGGGGGGAGAGGGACTCTAACAACAGCTCTGCAGCCCTGGCTGTCCTGGAACTCACCATGTAGACAAGGCTGGCCTCGAACCCACAGAGACCCACCTGCCTCTGTCTCTGGAGTGTGGGGAATAAAGGTGTGCACCATCACACCCAGCCTAACAATAGCTCCCTTATCTTGTGCTGATCACTACTTCCAGGCTTTGCTTAAGCTCTTCCCATTGGCCCCCTGAGTCCTGAGACCCGTGATGTCCCCCTTTTTCAGATGACGAAGCTGAAAGCAGAGGAGAATCTACTGATTGTCTGACTCTGGATCTGCACGCTGTAGATTTCCACCTGAGACACAAGGGCTTAGCCAGGCAGAGCAGAGCAGACAGTCAGATCCAAGGGATGGTACAAAGTCTGGGAGCTGGGAGAGCTGTGTGACATTGTCAAAAGGCCACACCACCTTCTCTGTGTGAAGACCAGTGGGGCTGTAGATGAAAAGTGAGACTCTCTGTTTGGGGACTGAGAAAGGTGGTCGCTGCCCCATCCTGAAGTTCAGCCCTGGGCCAGTGGGGCCCGCACTCGAGTAAGAGCTGGTGTGATAGGGAATGCTGGACTAGGGAGTTAGGAAATCCGAGATCACATCTTGACCTATTACTGTCCCTTTGCTCACTAAGGCGCACTCCTCTCATTGTGAATTGGAGCGAGGGGACATCAGGAAGAAAGATGGCAGCCATGCATCAGCCATGACATCACCCACCACCTGGTAGCAGGGCTATAGGAGTCTGAAGGAGTGTCCAGGTCATCTACTAGCTTAGGACTACATAGAATCATTGGAGAAGGGCAAGGGTAAGTCCCAGACTCTCGGCATCCTTGAGCTGGGCAAGTGTAGCATTGTCTAACATGGACAGATTCCAGGAGGGGCCCCAGAGGAGCGGATTCTATGCCACAGGCTCATCCTCAGCGAATGGTACATCAAGGGTCTCCCGGGGAACCCCTCATCATCTTAGACAGAGGGAACCTTTTAAACAGAAATGTTTCTAGGTGTGGTGGCACATGTCTGTAATCCCAGCACTCAGCAAGTAGAAGCAGGTGAATCATGAGTTCAAGTTCATCCTTGGCTACACAGAGAATTCAGGGCTGCAGGGCTGGCTCAGTGGGTGAGACACCGTGCAAGCGTGAGGATGAGAGTTTGGATCCGCAGAACCCATACAAACGCTGGTGTGGTGGGCATGACAAACGCCTGTAACTCCAGCCTTGGAAAGCAGAGACAGGGATTCCCCAGAGCAAGCTCTCTAGGGAGACTAGCCGAATCAGCAAGTTCCGGGTTTCACTGAAAGACTGTCTGCCTCGACAAATGAGGTGAAGAGCAGTGCAGTGATTCCAGACATCGACAGTGGCCAACAGTGCCACCAAATGCACACCACACACGTGCACAGACATACTTCCTCTGTATGCCCACACATAGTCATACATGCACACACACACATACACACACACACACACACACACACACACACACACACACACACACAGTGCAAAACAATTTTTTTTTTGAAGCCAGCTTGGGCTACATGAGACCATGTCTAAGAAACAAACAAAACAACAATAACAAAAACACACAAACCAAACCAAAGCAATAGAAAGAATCCACTGTAGTGAAAAGATGAGCAGACCCCACACCAGATGTTGTTGTCCCCATGACTGTGTGACCTAAGAAAGAAGGCTGCTATTTACATCCCACTGACACCTCCCACCCCAGGCTTGGTATGATTGCCTGAGGCTGTGGTCCTTGGAAGTCTTGTCTGGCAGACTCACCGCTCAGATGATATTCTGTCACGTCCACGGCCATGGTGTTCCCTGAAGTGACAGGGACTGAAAGGGAAAATAGAATCAGCCATGAGTAGGGTTCAGGGCATCATATTCCTAACTCAGTGACTTCAGTGTGCCTGTCACTTAAGTTCACACTCAGCTGCTCAAGAGTACTTGGCCAAATAGTTGCTACTCTGCTTCCCCATCCTGTGTCCCCTCCTCTTAAGATTTATTTATTGTTGATCCAGATGTGGTGGTTCACAACTTTAATCCCAGTACTCTGGAGGCAGAGGAAGGAGAATTTCTGTGTGTTCAAGGCCAATTTGATCTAGAAAGAAAGTTCCAGGCCATCCAGGGATAGATACACAGTGAGATGTTCTTCCTTTAAAATTAAAAAAAAAATTCATTTTATTTGCCTCAATGTTTTGCCTGCATGTATGACTGTGCACCGTATACATGCAGTACCCAAGGAGGCCAGATGAGGGCGTCAGGTCCTCCGGAACTAGAGTCACAGATAGTTGCTAGCTGTCATGTGGGTGCTGGAAACTGAACCAAAGTCTTAACCCATGAGCCACCTCTCCAGTCTCCTCGTCCCCTCCTTTATTTATTTGAGACAAAGTTTCTCTATGTAGCCCTAGCTGTCCTGGAACGGGCTGGTCTGAAAGTCACAGAAATCCACCTGCCTCTGCCTCCCGAGTGTTAGGATTTTAAAGGCGTGTGCCACCATGTCTGTCCCCTTTTCATCCCTCTCTCCTTCTCCACCTCTCCCTTCTCCTTCTTGAGACGAGGCCTCACCAGGCTGGCATGGAACTCTCCATCTTCTCGCCATGGCTGCCCGAGTGTGGGGATTACAATCATGTGCTACCATGCCCAGCTCCAATGGTGCTCTTGTTCATGGTATTTTCAAAAACAGTGGATGAAGGCAGACCAGGCAGGTATGGTCATATGGATTTGTAATCCCAGAACTCAGGAGGTTGAGGTAGGAAAATTATCATGTTGAGGACAGTCTGGGATTTATAATGGAACCCTGTCTTAAGCAAAATGGTATTTTAACCTTTTGGGGAAGGGGCTGAAACAGGGTCTCATGTAGCTCAAGCTGGCCTTGAACTTGCTAGATAGCCAAGGTTGGCTTTGGACTGCTGATCTTCCTGCATTTACTTCTCAAATGCTGTGCTTACATATGTGCTCCATTATGTCTGGATATTAAAACCTCTTTTTGAATGTGTGTGCAGTGTATGTTATATGTGTATGTGTGTGGAAGTACACTAACCTCTGTGAGTACATGTGAAAACCAGAGGTTGATGTCAGGATAGGGCCCTGGGATCTACCTGTCCTCTGTCTGTCTTTGTGTCGTCTGTCTCCCCTCCTCCACCTCTTCCTCCTTGTCAATTACAAACACACTACCACATCCTGCTGCTTTTTTTTGGGGGGGGGGTGTTTCAAGACAGGGTTTCTCTGTGTAGCTCTAGCTGTCCTGGAACTTGCTCTGTAGCCCAGGCTGGCCTTGAACTCATAGGGCTCCGCCTGCCTCTGCCTCCCGAGTGCTGGGATTAAAGGTTCGTGCCACCATTGTCTGGCCACATCCTGCTTTTGCATAGTAGACACTTTGCCCCCCGCCTCCCAGGCTATCTATCTCCCCAGCCTCCCAGAGCCTCCTTTTAAGCATTCTAAAACTCATTTGGAGTTGTTAGATAAAGCACAGGTTACCCATGTTCACTTTTAGGATAAGGCCCAAATACACATGGGACATATTTATGTTAAAAATGATCCAGCGTTTACCTGAAGCTCTAGGGTTAACAGGTGTTGGTGTTGGCCAGCTCTGCCCCCCTGCCTCAGCACCCTCCTAAAGCAACAGCTGGGAATCGAGACTGCTCCTTAGGACAGGCCACTTAGTGCCTTTACTCAGGTTCCACGTAGCTTGGAAAGAAGTGAAAAGGCTGGATTCCCTCAGTATTCTATCCTCAACCCTCCCCTGAGCGGGAGGCTTTCTTCTCTGCCCACTCTTGTCTTCCGGATTCTGTGAGCCACTGGGGTCTACATTATTCTAGATTAAGACCTGGGAGCTCATACAAGCCATTACCTGGACTCAGATGACGGCTTATTATTTCATTATTATTGTTGCTAAGAAGTTAATCTGGCTCGGGGATGTGTTTGAGTGGGTGGAGAGAGGAGGCTCTGGGATGGGAGACTAGAATGATCTGTACTCAGTTCTTTTTCCTTTTTGTCCCCAGCATAATATTTTTATTAATTATTTGGGAGTTTCCCACAATGCACCCTGGTCACACTCACTTCCCAGTCATCCCAGGTCCATCCCCCTCCTTGTGATCCCCCCCCCAAGTAGAAGAAAAGAAAAAAATATATACCAAGTCCAATTTGTGTTGCCCATATATTCACTGGAGCGTAGTTAAACTCCCAGTGACCAGCCCCTTAAAGAAAACCAAGTCTGGCTGGGCAGTGGTGGTGCGGGGCTTTTAGCGTGCCTTTTAATCCCAGCACTCGGGAGGCAGAGGCAAGCAGATCTCTGAATTTGAGGCCAGCCTGGTCTACAAAGTGAGTTCCAGGACAGCCAGGGCTAAACAGAGAAACCCTGTCTTGAAAAACCAAAAAAAAAAAAAAAAAAAAAAAAAAAAAAAAAAAAAAAAAAAGAAAGAAAGAAAAGAAAAGAAAACTCAGTGTCTCCCCCACAAAAAAACACACACACCAGAAGCCATCAGCTGTGAAGAGCTACACTTCAGGTTCCCTATCACAATTTTTAAGAGTTCTCTTCGGTGACTTCCTGTCTAAACTGTTTTTCTTTGGGGGGGGGGCAGGGGGCTGTACTCACTTCACTCAAGGGTAAAGAAGGCTAAGTTACCTTGCCCCACTGCTGGGCTCCCTAGCAGTTCATAAGTGCTGGACACCATCTCTCCAGCCCCCTGGGCATTTTCTTAATTAGTGATTGTTGTGGGAGGGCTCAGCCCACTGTGGGTAGTGCCATCTCTATGGTGGTCCTGGGTTTATAAGAAAGCAGACTAAACAAGCCATTCAGAGCAAGCCCGTCAGCAGCTCCCCTACATGGCCTCTGCCCTGTTTGAGTTCCTGCCTCCGCTTCCCTCAGTGGATTGTGATTCCTGATCTGTAAGCCAAACAAACCCTTCCCTCCCCAAGGTGCTTTGGTCATGGTGTTTCATCACAGCAATAGAAACTGCATCTCTTTAAAGACAACCCAGATGGGGGCTGGCAAGGCAGCTCAATGGTTCGGAGCACCGGCTGCTCTTGTAGAGGACCTGGGTTTTAGTCTCAGCACTCACTTGGCAGCTCACAACCGTCTGGAACTCCACTCCCAGGGGATCCAATGCCCTTTCTTGACTTCCATGGGCATCAGGCACACATTCGGTACACATACACACATGCAGGCAGAACACTCATACACATAAAAGAATAAAATAAATTTTAAAACAGTTTTTAAAAGAAAGGCCAAAAAATATTGTTTGAAAAAAAAAACCTTAATTTTTAATCACATTTTATTTATTTAGTTAGTAAGTTAGTGTGTCTGTGCGCATGTGCAGAGGTCAGAGGACAACTTGCTGGAGTCAGTTTTCTACTTGCACCTGTGTGGGCTCCAGGGACTGAATTCGGGTCCTCAGGCTCGGCAGCAAGCACCCTGACCTCTGAGCCATCTCACCAGCCTCCTGTTTAGTCTAGGGTGGTTCCAGCTCACTATGTAGCCAAGGATTGCCTGGAACTCCTGACCTTCCTGCCTCTACCTTGCAACTGCTAGAATTACACCCACTAAGAATTAAACAATTTATTAACTCACTTTTTGTTGAGACAGTCTCACAAGCCAGGCTTGGCTCAGACACCATATGTAGCTGAAAATGACCTTGAACTTCCAATCCTCTGTCTTCACCTCCTGAGTTCTGGGGTTACAGATATGTGCCACTACACTAAGTTTTATTTGATGTTAAGGATTGAACCCAAGACTTCAAGCATACAAGCACTCCACCACTGGAGCTACATCCCCAGCACTCACTAATTTTGAGACAGGGTCTAACTATGGTGCACTGGTTATCCTTGAACTGCTAGGCTCTGTTGGTGCCTTGTTTAGCCTGTGGAATAGTTGGGTCTTCAAGCACACACCCACGTCTAGTGTGTTGACTTTTAAGTGTAATCAATTTACACACACAAAGATGTCCACACGATTCAGGCACATTGGGCCTTGGCTCACCAACCCTTCCAAGCATTCTGTAGGCTTTCTCTGGGATCAGGGTTCAGTGAGAGAGTGAAGCTGAAACTTTAGGCATTTTTTTGGGGGGGAGGGGATTCTCTCCAGCCTGTGGCTTTGGAGTCAAGAAGTTGGTCCTGCACACACAGGTCCTAGGGTATGCGGTCCTGTGATGCAGGGCAGATGTTGGTTTGTGGCTGGCTTCTGGTTTCCTGATGTTGCTCCCGAGTTGATGAGATAAGAGTTGTCATGGTGATGGGAGGCAGTGCTAAGACAAAAAGACTTCGCCCATCTTGGCTTGAGTGAGCCCTAGGCTTGAGATAATAATAACAGCCAGCCTCCCTGGGCATATCTAAGCACCAAGCACAGCTCTAAACATCTATGCATATACGACCTTGTTTAACCCTCTTGACAGGGCATTGAAATGGGCACTAGAATCACATCTGCTCTGTAGGCCAGAGTGCTGTGGAGTTAATGTGCTCCATAGCCACGAAGTGCTCAACCTAGGCTGTCTGGCTCTGAGCTCCTAACCACTATGTCTTACTGAAGATGAGCACAGACTTTCCAAAAAGTTGTCTAAGAACTGTAGGTTCCAAATGGCTTGCTGTAGAAGTCTGGGGCTCTCTAGGCCCCAGCAGAAGTGGCTTTGGACACCACTAAACACAGTGTGTGAACACATGCATTCCAGTCTGCCCCAGAGTGGCTGCGATTCTGATAATGCCTCTGCGGCACATCTGACACAGGCTGGCAATGCAAAAGGGAAGCCTAAGCAAAGCGTGACACATGCTACAGCGTGTGTGGTACCAGCAGAACCTCAGAGGGTATCAAGCCTCTGGCTTTTGTATGTGTGTGTATGTGGGGGCTAGGGGTCAACCAGCGCTGCCCAGCTCAGACTCCACAATTGCCATGGGAACCGTGCTATCTGCGAAGGGATCAATGACCACTCAGCATACCCCCAGATAGAGCTCCCAGCTTCGCCCTGCCACAAAGAGCTTGAAGTCAGGGCACATCTGCCTAAGTAGAGGGAGGAAGAAATAGAGAATGTGCAAGATCCTGCAGGGGATCGATCAGCCAAAACCCCAGGGTTGTAGTCAGCTCTGGATTTCAGATGAGCCCTTTCACCGATGCATGGCTTTAGACAATTTTCTTAGTCTCTCTCTCTCTCTCTCTGAGCCTCAGTAGTATCATCCATAAAAGGGGTTCATAACTGGACTTGTAATGTAGATCTGTTGGTAGAGGGCTTGCTCAGCATGCAGGAAGACCTGGGTTTGGCTCTCCAGCACTGAATAAAACTGGGTATGGTAGTATACACCCGAGGTCCTAACACTCAAGAGGTGGAGGCAGGAAGAAGTTCAAGGTCATGACCACCTGTGAGGGTGACGGGAGGGTGGAATGAGAGGCGAAGAAAGAGATGACTTGGCAAATATTAGTTGTTATTGGCCTGGCCAAAGCACAGAAAGAGCCCATGCCTTTAATCCCAGCACTCGGGAGGCAGAGGCAGGCGGATCTCTGTGAGTTCGAGGCCAGCCTGGTCTACAGAGTGAGTGCTTGTCTAGCATGTGTGAGGTCCTTGGTTCTACCTGGGTGCTGGAAGAGAGGAAGGGAGAGGAACAGTGGTCGAGTGCAGTGGGTCTGAACTGCACTGCACTCCCTGCCCAGTGATGGCAGGTGTTCTGACAATGATGATATATAGAGTCTCATGCTCCTGAGACTGAGACCTGGCCCCTCCCACCTGCCACTCACTTTCAGAACCTGCTGGAAACATACTTATTCATAAGCTAGACTTGGAATGAGCTCAGAGAGGTTAAATGATTTGCCCAAAGCCAGCAAGTGTGGGTGTCTGTCTCAGGCTTCTGCTTCAGCAGCGGCAACCCCTTACCCAGAACTTCCTTCCCCATGCCCCCCAAATACTCTGGGCAAATCTTGTTATAATCCCTACTTGGCGGAGGAGCATGGAGAGGCTCAAAGAAGGTGGTAAGTGGGTCCAACATGGCCCAGCCACTGCACAGGGAGACAATGTCCCAGGTCTGCCTCTGCAGCAGGTGCCCTTCTTAATGGCTTTAGTCACAACCCGAGAGACCCTTGGCTCCATCTCACCTCAGGCAACACCAGTGGGTTTCTATTGGCAGCCCAGAGGTTGCGGCTTTGGCTAGGGCTAGGATGCTGACAAGGCATTTGAAGGCCAGGGCAGCCAGTGGCCAGAGTTGCCACTTTTGATACACAGCAGGGGCCAGCTGGGGTTGCTCCAGGCCCTCATCTGAGCTCTGTGCACCCTCCTCCTTGAGCACCCCTCCCTACTCAGCCTACAGTCAGTCCCAGTATCCACTGCACGGAGGAGCAGTGTTCACTGAGAGGCACTTCACAGTCCTGCTTAACAGTACCCTCCCCAATACTTTCTTCCAACATTGGGTGCCAAAGAAGCCTAGTGCATAACTGGTGCCCACCAGACCTGGGGACTGAATAAATTGCTGCATCCTTGTTTGTTTCGTAGATGAGGAAGATGGAGGTCACACACATCCCAACATAGCTACTTTGGGCTCCATATCAGTGAAGAATGGCTCTGGGCCTAGGCACTGGGCCACCATGCTGACTGCTGACTGCAAGGCCACTGGGATGGCTGGGAAGCACCAGCAGTCTACTGGGCTGGAATCTGACCATGGCAGAGGCTCCCTCCTCAGCTTGTCAGAGAAATGGCTTTCCAGGAATTCTGTGTGAAGAACCAGGGACCCTGAGCTGGGTCTCTTTTCTGCACCTCACTTCCTTCTTGCTCACTGTCCTCAGAACATGACCAGCATGGTGGTGGCTCCCTTTATCTCTACCTTGACACCAGCAGGTAAAAAGAAGGATGGGAGGGGCTGTATGGGGGAGCCTCAATCTTCCAGGCTGTGAGTTTCTTCAGGGACCTTTAGGTTTGAAAACCTTTGCAAGTGCGCAAGTGCGTCCCTCCCCCACAACACTTTCTGAGATAACCACATCCTGGTGCCATCCCCCAGACACCCGCAGAAACCACAGTACAGACTGGCTGGGGGTGGGTGGCAGCTGACACTGGGCACCTACTGTGTGCCAGCATGGTACCAAGGGCTTGCTTCGTGTTAGCTCCGGAGATCTCCCCGCAGCCCTGGAAATGGGGGGAGGGGTGGCCCAGCATCTGAGGCTCCAGCTTCGCTAAGTGTGAGAAGTGACTTGCCCAGGGTCACTAACAAGCACTTAGTAGGTTGAGGCCAGGTTTGGACCCCAGGCTGGGAGCCACCACTTTTCCGGACTGCTTGAGAAAGATTTCAGATTACCCTCTGAGGATGGCGGTAATTGTTACTGTCCTAGCCGTACTGGGAGGGCCGCGTTAACACCTAGGTGGGTCTCCTTTTCTCGTTTCTAATAAGAGGGACTACTGCTGCAGCTCTTCAAACCCGACACCCTGGCTTGACAGTCCAGGTGCAAGTTTCCCAGGGTCTTGCCTACGGATGTGGACTCACAGTCACTTAGCAGCACCGTGGCCATCAGAGACAGTCTCAGGGTCCCTTCACCCACAGTGCAGTTTGCTGGCCCCATGTTCAGCCCCAGTCTACATACAGCCTCAAGGAAGCTGAAGGTCCCTTTAGGCTCTTTTTGCAGCCTTCCTTCCCAGGCCTCCTGGAGATGAGATGCGACGCGCTCCCTACGATGATGACAGTTCCTACCGATCCTCACACCCCTCAGGATATCTGGGGAATTGGAAGTTGGGGGGGGGGGTACTGACCAGGGACCCTCCCCCCCTCAAAGGAATGTAAGGCCCGGGCATGGACAGTTAGCACAGCCAAAGTGCTGAGTGTGAAAGTGAGGGGTGTGTGCGGTGTGCGGGCTCAGGGGAGGCGTGTAAACAGCGGGGTGAACCGCGTGTGTGCACACGGGGGGCCGGGCGAGCCGGCGGCAGGCGATGCGCAGTGCGCGGAGTGGCTGGGCCGGGGAAGGGCGCCCGGCGTGCTCTGTGTCCCGCGTTGGTGTGGCAGCGCGGCGTGGGGGTGCAGACGCACGGAGTGTGAGGGGCCCTGGGTGCCGGGCGCAAGAAGAGGGACTGCGTGCGTCCGTCCGTGCCCAGGGCGCGTGTGCCTGCCGCGCTCTGGGGTTGGGCTGGGGTGCGTACTCACCCCGGGTTCCTCTCTGGGGCCGCGGGTCCGACTCCGGGCTCCGGCTCTGCTCGGCTGCTCCAGTGCCGGCCTCCCGCCGTTGGCTAGCACAGGCTCCGGAGTGCCAGCCGCTACGCCACCCCTGCAGTGTCGCAGGCACCCGCCTCGCGCTGGAGCTGCGCCTCACAGATCGGGGGCTCCGCGGGGCCCGGCGGCCGAATGGAGCAGCGCCGCAGTCCGGGCACGCTCCCAGGAGCCCGCCGCGCGCTCCCTCGCGCTCGCCCGCCTGCCCGCCCGCCCGCTCCTTCTTGAATTTAAAGTGACAACCCCGAGCGCTCTCTCTACTCCAGGCAGCGGAGCGGCGCTGCGAGGATCTGAGTCGGAGATCCCCAAGCGCAGGAGGGTCTTGGGGGGGTGACCAACCCCAATCTCGCAATTGCGAGCCCGTGGACGTGTGATGGGGAGCCTGGCGTGCCCACCAGGGGCGCCCCCGCCCCCTTTATATTGTTCTCCTTGTAGGCCTCAGTTTCTTTATCTGTAAAGCGGACTCAAGGGAGCCACAAGAAAGCAGACCAGCGGGCAGAGCAACCAGCAGTGCCCCCTTCTCCGAATGGCTAATACTCCCTTCCATGATTGAATTATGATTCTAGGCTATACCAATCCAGGTCGCTTACCGACGTCATCTCTTATAAACTCCGCAATGACCTCATCCGTGGCCACTCCATTTTTTATTTTTATTTAAGATAAGGCCCAGGGTGGATACCAAGGTCACAGTGCCAAATGTCAGAGCCAGAACTTAAACCTGAATCTTTGTGACTTCAAAGTCATTCTTTTCTTTCTTTCTTTTTGAGACATGATCTCTCTATTAGCCCTGTCTCAGGATTCGCTATGTAGACCAGGCTGGCCTCGAACTCACAGAGATCCACTTGCCTCTGCCTCCCAAGTGCTGGGATTAAAGGCCTGTGCCATCACACCTAATTTCAAAGCCTTTCTTTTTTTAACTTCTTAAGGGTCATACTTTCTCTTCCAGAGGAATGAATGAATCATTCAGCAGATATTTATGACGCCCTCACCCAGGCTCTCGGCACAGTGCCAGGCGTGGGCGATCCTCCATCTTCCGGGAACAAGGGACAGGTCCCTTCCCTGCCCGCACAGTCTGGCAGGGAGACAGGTCGGGTATTAGGAGGGGCTGGGTGGTGCTCGGCGGGGAGGAGCGGGGGACAAGTGTTTCAGACACAGCAACCAGAATAGCAGGCTGGAAAGGCACCTAACTAGGCTTCAGGGAGGACCTGGGGTCTAGTAGAGAAGCTGAGAATCTCCCGGGAGAGCCAATATGGGAAGGCTGGGTTGTCTGAGAGCTGTGTGTGGACACTGGCTTCCCAGTAGAGGCTAGGATTGTGCGTCTGTGGAGAGCAAAAACACAAGCTGGGTCCAGAAGACCAAAGAGAGGCGGCAACTTCACCCTCACCTGTAGGGGGTGCCATCATTTTCAGGACCTGAAAGAAAAAGAAAGGGCGTTATGGGCCATGGACGTTTGGTGCCATTTCTCATTTAACTAATTAACCGGCATGGCTGCTTACAGCTTTGGTAAGACTGAACTAATTTTCTTTTCTTTTTTTTTTTTTTTAATTTTTTAACTATTTATTAAAAGCGCCAGTGATGGTTGTAAGCCACCATGTGGTTGCTGGGAGTTGAACTCAGGACCTCTGGAAGAACAGTCAGTGCTCTTAACCACTGAGCCATCTCTCCAGCCCCTAATTTTCTCTTCAATTTTAAAAATTATTCGCCAGGCAGTAGTGACACACACCTTTAATCCCAGCACTCGGAAGGCAGAACCAGGCAGATCTCTGTGAGTTCGAGGCCAGTCTGGTCTACAGAGCGAGATCCAGGACAGGTTCCAAAGCTACACAGAGAAATCCTGTCTTAAAAAAAAAAACCATTATTTTCTGTGTATGTTTGTGGCTGGATGTATGGATATGCACCCCATGTAAGCAGGGGTTCAGGAGGCCAGAAGGAAGTGACAGGCCCGTTGGAACTGGAGTTGCAGGTAGTTGTGAGCTACCCCAGGTGGATGCTGGGAGCCGAACTCTGATTCTCTGCAAGAGCTCCTGAGTCCATTTCCTATGAAAACACGAAGGCTTGGCATATCAATGACCAGGTTACTGCTTTGGGAGGGACTAGGGACTTAGGCAGACTTAAAAGGGCTTCTGTTGGAGGAGCCAAAGATAAAACATCTGGTTCACTTCTGGTATAACTCCAAGGGGGCTGCTACACAAACCGAAATGAACTTGAAGTGAAATCTTGTTTAAAAACCTTCATTAACCACCAACAAGTCCACACACGCACCAAGAAATAAGACTAGAATGTTGACAGCAGCTCCATCCAAACTGGAGATCACAAAAGCTCACCCACAGCTGCGTGTGCAAAGACACGGTGGTGCAGGGCCACACCTTGAAGTTCGGTGTAGCAAAGAGAAGGAACAAAGCGCTCCACCGGTGAACGTGAGGGATTGACAGACATGAAGTTCTGCAGGAACACATGGCTGTTAGAGTCCGTTTATAGGATCACAAACAGTAAAACCGTCCTCTGCTCTTAGAGGCTGGGAAGACAGTTCCCACGGGGCTGGTGATGCAGAGAAACTTGAGGAGGCTACTAGAGTTTGGATATGGTTTGAGTGTGCTCCCCCAAAGGTTCATGTGATGGAGCTTGGCCTCCAGTATGTTAATATTAAGAGGTGGTGGGACATATAAGAGCTGTGGCCTAGAGGGGGGCTGATAGATGACTGGGGGTACTGCCCTTAGAAGGGTAAATTAGGTGTTTCTCAGGACAGCCTGCTTAGTTCTTGTGGTGGTTTGAAAGAAAATGGCCCCCATAGGCGCAGGGCGGCACATTAGGAGGTGTGGTCTTGTTGGAGTAGATGTGGTGTTGTTGGAGGAGATGTGTCACTGTGGGGACGGGTTTTGAGGTCTTACATGCTCAAGCTGCACCTGGTGTGGCACACAGTCTCCTTCTGCAGCTTGGGGATCAAGAGGTAGAAACCTCAACTCTGTCTCCAGCACCATGTCTCCTGCATGACGCCATGCTTCCTGCCATGATGATAATGGGCTAAGTCTTTGAAACTGTAAACCAGCCCAATTAAATGTTTTCCTTTATAAGAGTTGCTGTGGTCATGATCTCTTCATAGCAATAGAAACCCTAACTAAGACAGTTCTCTTGAAAAGGTTATTTATAAAATAGCAAGGCCTGCCCCTACCTGGTCTCTTGGGCTTTCTATCTTGCCCTGTAATCTCTCTGTCCCACAACATGACATCACTTGCCGTGATGTAACTAGTAGGCCCTCACCAGAGAAGAAATCAATGGGGCCATTCAATTTTGATTTTTGAGGGTTTTTTTTCCCATTTTTATTTCATGTACATTGGTGTTTTTGCCTTCATGTATGTCTGTGTGAGAATGTTGGATCCCCTGGAACAGAAATTACAGACAGTTGTGAGTTACCATGTGGGTGTGGGAATTGAACCTGGGTCCTCTGGAAGAACAGCCAGTGCTCTTAACTGCTGAGCCATCTCTCCAGCCCTCAATCTTTGAGTTTTTAAAATTATGAGCAAAACTCCCCCCCACAAAGCTACTTTTCCTCTCTCTCTTCCTTTTATATTTATTTGCTTATTTATTTATTTAGAGCAGTGATTCTTTACCTTCCTAATGCTGTGACACTTTAATACGGTTCCTCATGTTGTGGTGACCCCCAACCATAAATGATTCTCATTGCTACTTCATAACTGTACTTTTGCTACTGTTATGAATCATAATGTAAATATCTGATATGCAGGATATCTGTTATTCTACCCCTGGACTCTAAGGGGGATCACGACCTACAGAACCACTGATTTAGAGAAAGGCTCTTACTATGTATCCCTGACTGGCCTGGAACTCACAATGTAGATCAGGCTGTCTTCAAACTCACAGAGATCCTTGTGTCTCTGTCTCTTGAGTCCCAGGACTAAAGGCATGTACCACCACGCCTGGCATACATATAACTAAAAATAAAAACAAACATTTAAAAATAAGAAATACAAGGCCAGCCTGGTCTACAAAGTGAGTTCCAGGACAGCCAGCCAGAGCTATTACACAGAGAAAAACCTGTCTCAAAAAAAAAAAAAAGGAAGAAAGAAAAGAAAGTTGTGTTTTTATTTACTGTGTGTGTTTCTGTGTGTGGGCGCCATGGCATGCAGGTGGAAGTCAGAGAACAATTTATGGGGGTCAGTCCCTCACTCCACTGTGTAAGTTCTAAGGTTCAGACTCAGGTCATTGGGCTTGGCAGCAAGTACTTTTACTGATGAACCAACTCACTGGCCCTCTCCTTTTTGTTAAGGCAGGGTCACAGCTCAGGCTGGGCTTGAACTCATGATCCTCCTGTTCAGCCTCCTAGGATTACAGTCATGTGACACCGCTTCTCAGCACCAACTCACATTTCTCTTATGCATTGCTGGACTAAGACAGAGGATTCTGGGGTGCTATTCCTAGCTGAGATCTCGATGCTAGTCTCCCACATGTGTCCCCATGTGAAATCCCATGGCACCATACACTTCTCTGCATGTGTGATGTGCTCCGACCTAGTGTGGCCACAGGGCTACACTGGAAATAGAAGTCAAACTCCTTTTGTGGTCCACAAACCCCGGCGAGCTGGTCCTGCCGGTCTTTCTCACCCATCATGCGCCGTCCCTCCCACCTACAACTTCCCACTTCCCAAGCCTTCTGTTCTTGACACCGGCCAAGTCATTTTCTGCCTCAAGACTCAGCATGCTGGTCACCCTCTCTGCAAAGTGTTTCCCCGGCTCTCACTGAGTTCTCTGTCTTGCTTTGTTTTGTTTTTAAACAGAGTCACTCTGTAGACCAGGCCAGCCTCAAACTCAGAGACCTGACCAGGCTGGCCTCAAACTCACAGAGACCTGCCTGCCTTTGCCTCCCAAGCAAAGGATTAAAGGCCACACAGGGCCTTTTTTGTTTTTGTTTTTGAGACCTGGTCCCCAGTAGCTGGGGCTGTCCTTGAACTCCTGATCCTCTTGCTGTACCTTCTCAGTACTGGGATTATAGGTGTGTCTTCCACTCCTAGCTAGAGTCCCTGTGCTTAGTTCTGTGCTTGGACAGACTTTGGTGGTCTTCCTGGTAGCGCTTGGGACACATCCTGCCGTCTGAGATAGCGCTGAGCATGGACTAGGTTCACAAGGAATGCTTGTTAAGTGGATGACGAGCTAGAGGAGAGAGGGGTGCTTGGACCCCAGCGTGGACAATGAGGAGAA